TAGGGGCACCTGGGTGGCTCAGTCAGTTACATGTCTGCCCTTGGCTCAGGTCATGATCCCAGGGTCCTGGGATTGAGTCCTGCATCGGGCTCCCTGCTCAGAGGGGAGTCTGCTGCTCCCTCTCCCTGCTGCTCCCCCTGCTTGTGCCCTCTGTCAAATAAATAATCTTAAAAAAAAAAAAGACTGGTACATCTATTCAGAATGGTTTTAATAAAGGCAGACAGACCTCCCTAGGGAGAACAAGCTATTCTTTTCAGAACTTCTTGGGAAAAAAACACTTTTTAAAATGTATACAATAAAAATGTCATGAAAAATGGTTATCAGGGCTTGTTTGGCTTTGGGAACCCCATGAAGATTTTTACACATCTTCTAAATTTTTCATTATGAAAGATGTTTAAGGCAGGGAAATACGTGTAAAGGATATGACCCACTACCAAGCTTAAGAAACTTAATTCATAGAATCCATCTGTATATTCCTCCTCGATTATATCCAGTCCTCTATACCTTAAGGTTATCATCTTTTTCTAATTTTTCTTTTTAAGGATTTCAACTGTTAAAGTTTGAAATTTAGGTAAATAGATTTGTTCTTATTATAATGATTATACACACCAAAGGCCATAAACATTTTTATGTGTATTTGTATATTAGAATTTATTAAATGGTAATCTATAATGTATCATTTCTTTATTTTAACATTTAGTTTCTATACCTTTGCCTATGTCAACCTGGACTATCATGAAGAATATTGTTGCTAAGAATGGATTTGCAGGATTATTTACAGGTAAAAATACTTGCTTTATCAAATTGTTGAATAAAATGATAACTTTGACATCTGTCATCTTCCTAAATTAACCTTCAGCAGGAAATTATTGAAAACATTCCCTATTTATGAAAACACATTGATGATGTTAAAGTGAACATATTAGGGGCATTTGGGTGGCTCAGTCAGTTAAGCATCTGCCTTCAGCTCAGGTCATGATCCCAGGGTCCCCAAATAGAGTCCCATGCCAGGCTCCCTGCTCATGGGGAGTCTGCTTCTCCCTCTGTCCCTTCCCCTGCTTGTGCTCTCTTGCTATGTCAAATGAATAAAATCATTTTAAAAACTTAAATTTTTTAAACGTAAAGTAAAATTTGTACTGATTTTTTTCTATTCTCTTTTCAGGCCTCATTCCCCGTTTAATTAAAATTGCTCCTGCTTGTGCCATTATGATCAGTACCTATGAATTTGGGAAGGCTTTTTTCCAGAAGCAAAATGCTCGAAGACAGCAATACTAGTGATGCTGTTTCAACTGGAAATAATAACCAAAGTCAAGTAATAAGATGGAGACTTAGGCAAGAACTCTTTCACCATTATCTCAAAATGATTTTATGTATTTCTTATAATTTAAATGAGCAGTAATTTCTACTTTGCCTCTGAATCATAACCCTAATTTTAAAGTAAATTTTGTTATGCTGATTTTTGAGATATTGAAAAAGGAAGGTATTCCAGAAATCACAATCATTAAGTGTTCCTGTAAAGAAGAGAAAAATTACTCCTTAGCACTGAAAGTGAAAATCTCTTGGAGAGTTTGATATTCTAGATTTCGGTATATTGTCACTGGGAATGTGTCACATAGATCAGAACAGTTTGAATTGTGTGCTGAATGATGTGCAGAGTCTAGAAGAAAAATGCCCTTCCTTCATACACTCTTAAATCATGCACACAGATACTTAAGTATTCCAACAAAGTACATAATAGATGGCAGTCTTTAAATAACGTTAATCACGTTTACCTAATTACCTATTAGATACTTTAATTCAAGTTTTGTTTTTGTTTTATACCTCCCATTGCCGTTTTAAGGCTTCACCCATATTAGGATTTCTTCACCCAAAGGTAATGGCTATTTTATCTTTATGAACCAGAATGTAACTGTTTATGTGATAAAAATATTTTTGGTGACTAAAAACTCTATTATCTACTGTTTCTGCAAGAGAGAAGGAGTCTTTACTGATTGTCTTAAATGTTTGGCACAGTGAATCTTGGGTGTACAGTGGGAAAAAACCACATTATATTTAGCATGGTAAAAATAATGTTTCAGCCAGGGAAGGGCCTCGGGTTTCAGCCATCTTGGAATTCAGGTATCACTGTTTGTGGAGCTCTTGAGGTCACTTGTATTGTCTTCTTCTAACAACACTGAGATGAATACAATATAAGCCACAAAATACTTCCAAAATGTCCCTTGATTTTATACATCTCATGTTAGTATGCTACATCAAGAGACTAAATAGGCAGCCGTTTCCCTGAAGAAATAGCTTTTAGTCAATACAGGCTAATGCCTCAATAATGTAGCTTGTGGCTATAGGAATGAAACAAAGCTACAACGGCAGCACAAAAATAATTTTTAAAAAAATTTTCTCAGGATCTATATCCCATAAGAAAAAGCACTTTATTGCAGTCTATGTATATGCTTTGAAATGTGAAGTATTTTTTTTTCCCCTAAAATAGAATAGTATAGGTAGGTGACAGATCTCTAGTGTTGGTAGAGGAATTATGTATTTTATATTTTAGTAGAAAAGAGTTCATATGTTTCATCAGAAATAAAATATATAGGGTTTGTAATCTTGTTTACTTTATCCTGTGTTCATTTACCTTAAGTTTTGCAACATTCATATCTATAAAATCATAAATGTTTGACTTTAACTTACATTTTCATTAAAATATTTTATGCTTTCTTAAAATTATCACTGTGCTTCAAGCTGAATATTTTCAAATAAAATTATGTTAATGATGTACTTTATATAAGAAAGTTTATCTTGAACACTGCTGCTTAACGGTATTAAATTTAAGTTTACTTTTGTCCTGTTATGTTTCTTTTTGGTAACTGGTAGAAAAATTTATAATTATTAAGAAGCAGTCATGTATTTCAGCTTAATAAAAATACCAGTAGAGAAATTCCCACTGCCCTCCCTCCCCCAAAACAGACTATACTTATGGAAAATTCTTCCCATTTATACCTAAAATAAATTTAATTCCCTAGTAGCTTTTCTAGTACATATTACAGCCATGTATCTGGATAAAAAGGGTGAATTGAAGCTTTCTTTATACTTATATATTTATACTTTATACTTATATAATTTTAATTGAATTTAATTTTAATTTTAACAAAAAATAGCCACTAAAAAGCACTTGACAAGAGATTATATTCTTGGTAATGTTTCTGAAAGCAAATAGTTTCAATCTATGCGAAGTTTTCCAACAAATACATTTACTTTCTTAGGTGTGTGTACATTTTTTAAAAAGAAGTTCAAGTATTACATGTTTGCCACCTTCCATACAACACACATTTGACTTTTGAAATAATAGATATGAAGTTAAATTTTCATTTCTAGGAAACTATTCGGTATACTTATTTAACTACATGACTCCTTTAAATTCTTCCCTCCTTCTGGAGCATGAATTCCAGGGATATGGGAAAGTTCCGTGTTTCAGGTTTTAATTTTTTTCCAAAATGAACTTTTTAAATAAATTTTAACCTATCATTTAACATTTCCTCAGATTTTTTACGTGGTTGGCAGTTTAAGAAGCACATGAGAGTAGAAGTGCTTCAGATACAGGCTATAAATAGAAGCAGAGCTACTGATTGACAGAGGGCTGCAAAGGGAGTGATGGGGATGATGAGGACGCAGAGCATTTCTCCACTGAGCTTGGGGGCAGAGAGGGAGTGTCAGGAAATGCTTTTAAGATTAAGACAAACGGGGGGCACCTGGGTGGCTCAGTGGGTTAGGCCGCTGCCTTCGGCTCAGGTCATGATCTCAGGGTCCTGGGATCGAGTCCCGCATCGGGCTCTCTGCTCAGCAGGGGGCCTGCTTCCCTCTCTCTCTCTCTCTGCCTGCCTCTCTGTCTACTTGTGATCTCTCTCTGTCAAATAAATAAATAAAATCTTTAAAAAAAAAAAAAATTAAGACAAACGTACCTGGAGGTGGGAGTCTCAATCAGGCAATGGAATTCAGTCCCGGGAAGGAAAAACAGGAAGGCAACTGGAAACCAAGCAAGTATTTTTGGTACAGGTCTAATAATTATCGAGTGGTTGTTCTTGGTTTGTTTGTTTTTTTTTTACCCCCCCAAGACCAGCAGTTATTTTAACTGAAAAGAAAAGAAGGTAGCATAGTTGAGCACAGCACACACCAGAATGTGTCACCTGTAGTAAGGCTGAGTTTTATGTAGTGAAATTTTGGCTTCATTTGGGTTTTAGAGAAATAAACAGTGCTATAGGAAATGGGGACTTACATAATAAGGATTGGTTTGGACCAGAATAGACTTTGAAAAGGGACCATAAGGACATTGATGTGATTTTTATCGGCCCCTTCCTATCAGTTAAAAAGGACTAATTCTAAAACTAAATAGAAGCTGCTTCACTTCCAGAAGAACAAGGGGAACCAATTAAAAAATATTTAAGAGCTCTGATGTTCAAAGCAGTTGTGTGACATTTCAGAAGTAATCCATCGTATTTGCTGATCAAAACTGGAGATCTTACCTAACAGTAGGAACTTTGACAAAGAATTTCCCTAAGTTCTAAATTTGAGACACACTTTTAATCAATCACTTGAAAACTTGTGTGTAAATCTAATAAAGATGACTTAAATAAAAACTTAGTTTATATCATTTCATTCAATGCTGACATCACCTTGATGCCATCATAGGTGCTGGGAAGATGATGATGTTTCCATTTTATGGTGAGAAAACAAACATGGCTCTTACATAATTATGTTATTAGCACTACCAAAATCACTACCTGTATTGTACCATTTCAACAGATACTATGTATTATAAAGCAGATCATGTTATTTTTTTAAATAAAAGGTATTTAATTTGAGTTGAAATAAAGATTTCTCTAAAACTTTTTGTCATATTAGTATTTTAGTGCTGAGTAATATACACTTACCATAGTTGCTAAAACAAAGTTCAGTGTACAACTTGAATCCAATAACTTGTCTTGAAGGAAAAAATATAACCACTAATGCATGGTACAAAACTTTTAATATACATGCAACAAGTATAGTACATCAAGGCAACAAAATACACATGGAATTATTAGCATATAATTCAGCATTCTGTTTTGGGTAGGGTGTGTAAACAGTAAACACCACCACCTAAAATTAAAGATTGAGACATACATTGTTTCCTCATGCAAACATTAACTACATGTATAACTAGTGTGAAATGAACTGTATAGAAACCTGAATTCACATTAGCAGATGAATTTTATACCAGGAGCTCCAAGAAAGGAGGAAAAGTCATGATCCTCAGATGTCATGTTTAAATCTGCATATAGCAGCATGTTAAGATGCACAAGTTACTGTATGCATTAGACAAATCTGGAAAATGTGATCAATTATGGAATCTTGAATTTCCTTCCTCTATTATAAAAATGTATGGAAAAAATTTAACAATGATTTTTTTAAATTACTGAGGAACAATAAATATCAGTTGAGAGTGGACCGTGGATAAAGCATTTGGAACATTCTGATCGTTTTTTAGGAAGGCAGCAATAGAGCTTAAGGCCAACCTAAGAATTTTCAAGTTCCTCTCCTTAGCCATTTTCCTTCTTCCTGCTCCCAGGGTTTTCACTGTCCTCATTTTTTATCTTCCTTCCATTCCCATGCTCAATAATTGCTTCGGGTACCTCACTCATAATAAGGTGTATAGAATTAAGAGGAGGTACCACTAAATTGTTAAAGGTACCATTTTTCAAGAATATTTGCATTTTTACAAGTACTAAAGCCTTAACCTAAAGGAGTAAAAACTCTTGAGTATGTTCTGGTACTTCTAGGATAACTTATTTTAATGGCTTCCAGGCCTCCTTTGTCCCTGAAATGACTTCATTTGAACTTCCCTATAAGACTGGCATTCTTATTATTTATTATCTTAAATTCCAAATTATGAGAATAAAGCTCCTAAATCTTGCAGAGAACCACCACACTCCTGCATTTCTAATACAAAGAATGATGTAGTATGTTCAGCACTCTTGCCTCCTCTGATAAATTGTTGTACTGTTCCTACATGTCAAGCTACTGAGTTTAAATGTAATGTTTTATTAACAAACAAAAATAGCATATGAAGTCCCCATTTAGTATTGTGTCCTCTTCATGTAAACAATGTATAAAACTTCTTTGGCACAACTGGTCATGTTTTCCTCATAGTACTTATGATAGAAAATATACTTCAGGCATTTTCTCTTTCAATATGGTGGGATTTTGATGGATGAAATCTATAAATTTCCAAAACTGCAAAAAGATTTTATAGCACATAATTTTTTTAAAAAGGAAACTAATTTTTTTTTCCTGTAGAAGTGTAGGGATTTCGAACATTAACATCGGTTTTTAACATTAACATGGCGTGATTCATTGTTGCGCACAAGGGAGAACAAAACAGCACTGTATGTCAGACATATTGAGGAGTATGATAAGACTCTAGTAATCCTTACTTGAAGGTTCTCAAATCCTTACAGGGACTCGAAGTCTTTCCTAATACTTTTCAACATCTGTTCTACATTTTTAAATGTTTCCAACTACTGAGGAATATTTGATATTTTTAAATAACCTTTTAGGAAAATCTTGGGAAAACAGTTTATTCATTTTACCAAAATGGTGTAAAACACTTTCCCTATGACCCTGACAAATTTAGTAATGGCCTAAAGATACATTCCTACAAATTTTATAAAATGTTAATGGAATGTTGTACCAAATGATAACTATTAAAGAAAAAGTGAGTAAGCCACTATGAAACCAGCTGAGAACCTCCTCCTCATACAAAAAACAAGGCATTTAAACATCAGAACCTAGGAAGAAATGAATGAAAAATGAAATTAAGTCATTTTTTAGAAAATATAACCACTGAATAAAAGTAAAAGAAAATACTTAGCTTTGTCTCTGGAATAAAACCTTGAACTCAGTCTCCGGCAATTAAGGTACATTTAAATACATGAAAATCAGCTGAATAATAAATTTACGTCACAATTTGCAATGGATTATTAATTTAGAGGATATTTAAAAGTTTTTTAAGCTTATTCATTTTTAAACTTCCTCAGTGACAAATATAAGAATCTTAAAATGGCAGGATCATTTTCTCTCAGAAGGGCACATGGAGTGGACTGAATTCTCTAATAGAAGCAATAGGATTCCAGACATGTGCCAGAACAATATAAAATTCCAAAGGTTTTCCCAGCAGTCAAACTTATGTAAATAGAACATTTGCAACATAAAAACTTCTGGCTCTGACATAAAATTTTTCAGGATGGAGTTAGGCCTGGACTCGTCATCTCTGTTGTGGGACTTGCAAGGTAGTCATTAGATTTGAGGCTTGTTAGAGATTTGTAACTTGCCACTGATGTTAGAGATCCACAGAGACCGAGTAATGAGGGGGTATCTTCTTTACCTGAAAGTTAAGATTAAATAACAAATACTTAATTGCCCTTGAAGAATGTTACCAAAAGATCCTATAAAACTAAAACTTGCATAACTTTATAAAGTACTCCAAACATAGCCAGTTCTATATTTCCATAACTTCAATGCCATCCTTCAAAAAACATTACCAGAGGATTATGTGTGCTCCTCATAACATTTCTAGTTATAGAAGTTTGAGATACCATGTTTTAGGACAAAAATAAAAACTTTACCTTTTTTTCCAGAGTATGTTCATGTTCACTTGGTAAAGCATAATAAACTAACAGTACCAATGCCCAGGCCACAGAAATACCAGGAAATCCCTGTGTAGGTTAAGTAATGCAGCAGAAAGAAGCAAAACTGCTTCCGTTCAGGAGGAGGGCTGGATTGGGAGAGCTTCAGCCCACGTACTGAACATTTATTCAGCTTCTACCTTGCCTCAGGAACTTTGTCACGTCCTGGACTCCAGTAGGCCCGTGAGGAAGACTGGCAGATCTGTTTTCAAAGCTGGGGAACACAGGTTCTTTCCAAAGCTGGTTAAGTTTGCAAATACCAGCTAGAAGTGGCTGGTTTGAGGCTCTGAAGGGCTGAGGTCTTTGAAAATTAGCAGGTTTCCAAAGTAGATAAAAAGCTTAAGTTTTGCTTACACAGTTATAGAAGTCTAAACTGAACCAGACGGCAGGTGTTTCTGAACGCTATCTATAGTTTAAATGGCCCCTCTGAAGTGTTCCTACAGTCCTTTGAACTCTAACCTACCTAGTTATACTGTATGATAATTGTGGGGCTCTCCATTCTTCTAAACCATACACTGAGAAAGGACCTGGAATTTCTTGTGTTCTTTATTATATTCCCAGTGCTGAGCACATAGGAGATGCTCATTAAATAATTATATAATTAACAAATCATGATTTCGTAAGAACAGTGTTGGGACCCAAGAGAGCTCCTATGTCTTTTAACTGTATGACCTTAAGAAAGGCATCTTCTGTGAGCCTTTCCTTTGTAAAATACCAAAAATGACTAGCTATGTTAACTTCATAGTTTTGCTGACAAGCACAATACAGGAAAATATAACAACATTAGAAAAAGATACAGAAGAGTAATTGTTAAATTCCAATTTAAAATGTTTATTGTGTTCCTTTAGGGTCAAAACATTTAGATGTTTCAAGGGCCCTTTTAATGTTTAAGCTTACTGACCCATTTCAGGCCAGAATCAACTTTCTGGAATTCTTATTAAATGCTCCTAGAACTCAATTGCTTTAGATGGTCTTTCCAAATTTCATATTTTAAATGTACAATTCAGTAGCATTAATTATACCCACAGTATTGTGCAACCATCACCACTATTTCCAAAAATTTTCATTACCCCAAACAAATTTTCTACCCATTTAAGCAATAAGTATCCATTGTCCCCTCACTCCCAGTCTCTGGAAACTCCAATCTACTGTCAATGAATATGCCTATCATATATCATTCTTACAAGTGGAATCATACAATATTTGCCCTTTTGTGTCTGGCTTTATTTCCCTTAGCATGTTTTCTCAGGCCCATCCATTTTGTAGTATGTATCAGAACTTTATTCCTTTTTCATGGCTGAGCAGTATTCCACTGTATGTTTATACTACTTTTTGTTTATCTATTTATCTGTATGGACACTTGGGTTGTGTCTACCTTTTGAGTACTGTAAACAATGCTGCTGCACACATTGGCACACCAGTATCTGTTTGAGTCTTGTTTGCAATTCTTTGGGAATATATACTTAGAGAACATTTTTTAATATAAAGATTATCATACAGTAATGCAAAAGATGAAAATCTAAATGTCTAACATGGTTACACAATGAAGTACTGTAGAGCTGTAAAAGAGAATCAGAAGGATCTCTACTTCTAGGTATTGATTTCCAGGATACCTGGATTATGTTAGGAAATGGTTCACTGTTGGCACAGAGAATGATACTGTGAACAGACACAGCCAATGTCTGTCTTCATATTCAGAAGAGATTGACTGTGAATATGGAGTTCTTTGCAACTGAATTCACTTTTCTTTTCCTTATAGGTACAGAGGAGTGACATGAATTTTTTAAATCCACGCTTAAAGTCTAAAAATGAAAGAAGCAATGAAATGAAGAAAATAATCCCATTAACAATAGAATCTAAAAGAATAAAATACCTAGAAATAAATTCAAATAAAGAAGTGCAAGGGTTGTACATTGACAACTACAAACTATTGTTGGAAAAAATTCAAGGTTGAAATAAGTGGGAAAACATTCCATTTTTCCATGGGTTAGAAGACCATATTAAGATGGCAGTATTTCCCAAATTAATCTACAGATTCAGTGACATCCCCATCAAAATTCTAACTGCCTTTTTTTCAGAAATGACAAGTTGATTCTAAAATCCATATGGAAATTCAGTGGAGCCTGAATAGCCAGAACAATCTTGAAAAGGAACAAAGTTGTCCTGGTTTCCAAACTTAACTATAAAGCAAGACAGTGTGCTACTATACAATGGGTAATATAGCACTGGTAGAGGCCGACAGACCCACAAATCAGAACTGACAATCTAGAAATAAACCCATACATGTATGGGTAATGCATTTCAGCAAGAATTCTAAGACCATTTAATTGGGGAAAGGATAATTTTTTCAACAAATGGTCCAGGGGCAACTGAATATCTACCTGCAAAAGAATCAAGTTGGACAATTAGCTCACACCATATACAAAAACTTAAAATAGATCAAAGACCTAAATGTAAGATCTAAAACTATAAAACCCTGAAAAAGAAACATAGAAGTAAATCTGCATGACCTTGAATTAGACAATGATTTCTTAGATGGGACACCAAAAGGACAAGCAACCGAAAGGAAAACTAGTTAAATAGGACTTTGTCAAAATTAAAAATCTGTGAGTCAACACTAGCAAGCAAGTAGAAAGACATTCCTCAGAATGGAAAAATATATCTGCAAACCATACATCTGATAAGGTCTACTATCCAAAATACACTATCGCAACTCAAAAATCAAAAGACAATGCAATTTTTAAATAGAGGAGTTGAACAGACATTTATCTGAAGATGATATACAAATGGCCAATAAGCACATGAAAAGATGTTCAACATTATATGCATTAGGACAATGCAAATCAAAACCACAAAATTCTACTTCGCACACACTAGATGGTATAATTTAAAAGACCATCAATAACAAACATTGGTCAAGGTGTGGAGAAAATGAAACCCCTATACATTGCTGGTCGGACTATGAAATGCTACAATCACTTTGAAAAAGTATGGCAGCTCCTCAAATGATTAAAACATGTTCCAGCCAATTCCATTCCTAGTTATATACCCAAGAGAAATAAAAATATATATTCACACAAAAACCTGTACATGAATGTTCACAGCATTATTAATAATGGCCCAAAGTGCAAACTATCCAAATGTCCAAATGATGAATGGATAAACTGTGGTATATCCATACAATGGAATATTATTTGTGCATAAAAGGGAATGAAGCACTGATACTTGCTGCAACGTAGACAAACTGTGAAAACACAATGCTAAGTCAGAGAACCTAGACAGAGAGTGCCCAGGTGTCTCGGTCAGTTAAGCTTCTGACTTTTTTTTTTTTTAAGAGTTTAATTACTCATTTGAGAGAGAGAAAGAGAAGGAGAGACACAGGGACCACAGGTGGGAAGAAAGGGAGAAGCAAGCTCCCCACTGTAGGAAGCCCAACAATGTGCTCAATCCCAGGACCCCAAGATTACAACCCAAACTAAAGGCAGACCCCAAACTGAGCTACCTGGTGCCCCAAGCTTCTGATTCTTGGTCTCAGCTCAGGTCTTGATCTCAAGGTTATGAATTCAAGTCCTGCACTGGCCTCCATTACGGGCATGGAACCTACTTAAGAAAAACACGAACAAAAAACCTAGACCAAAACAGCTACATACTGTATGATTTTATTATATGAAATGTCCAGAATAGACAAACCCAAAGAGACAAAAAGTAGATTAGTAGTTACCCAGAGATGGGGGCACGGAGGAATCGGGACCAACTACTAACAGATGTAGGGCTTCTTTACTGGGTAATGACAAAGTTCTGGAATTAGTGGTGATGGTTGTACAACACTGAGTACACTAAACACCACTGAAGTGTATACTTTACAATGGTCAGTTTTATGTGAATTACAATAAAAGTTTTTTAAAAGTCTAAAGGTCTTCTTCTTTTAGAGAGAGTATGTGTGCAAGCAGGGGGAGGGTCAGAGGGACAGCAAGAGAGAGCATTCCAAGCAGACTGTGCTGAACACAGAACCCAATAAGGGCCTCGAACCCATGACCCTGAGACAACGACCTGAGGTGAAATCAAGAGTTAGGTCCCAATGGGCGGAGCCACCCCGGTGCCCCAAGGATCTCTCAAAATAAATATAAAAAATGCTGAGATATGTAGACAATGTGTTATGATTTAATTGTTGGCTTTTTCTTCTCTTTTTTGAGGCTAAATTAAATACTGGTGTATTTTAAAACCCAAGGCATCCTAGATTTGCTGAACTATGGGTAGCTAGTAGTTACTAGCACAACAACTATCACATATGAAGGGCTTAACCAATCCTTGAAAAAAAATGCCAACTTCTCACCCTTTTCTACCAACAATTATGGTACCACTTTAACTTCTGAGATGATCTTTATAAGATTTTATTTATGAATGTATTTATTTATTTAGAGAGCGTGCATGCATAAGTTGGAGGAGGGGCAGAGGGCGAGGAGGAGAGAGAATCTCTGGCAGGCTGAATGCAGAGCCTGATGTGGGGCTCAATCTCAGGACCTGAGATTATACCTTGAGCTCAAATCAAGAGTCAGTATTCATTCTAGAAAAATGGAGTCAGGTTCACAGAAAAATTTGCAAACCAATGTTCACTGCAGCATAGGCCGTTCAGGCTGCTATCACAGAAATACCATCAGCTGAGTGGTTAAAAACCACAGAAAGGTATTTACTGTTTCTCGTTTCTCAGCATTCTGGATGCTGGGAAATCTCGGAGGCAGTTACCTGTGGGTCCTATGTGTAGTTACGGCCTGTTTTTCCTGGCTCATAGCAGGTTCTTGCTGTGTCCAAAGGTGACTAAAGAGGCCAGGGAGCTCTCTGGGCCTCTTAAGAAAGCTAATGGAATTCATGATGGTTCCACCCTTGTGACCTACTCCCCTCCCACATTCTTCTATCATCATACCAGAGATTATGAATTTGGGGAACACAGACATTCAGATGAGAGTAGAGTTTCACAGCCCCTAAACAGAAACTCAGATATCCTTCAATAAGTGTTTTTGTTTTTGTTTTTGTTTCAAAAATGTGATAATACATATTATGGAATTTTTTTTACAAATAAAGGAATAAGTCACTGATACGTTTAACAACTTGGAAAGATCTCAGGGGAGCTATGCTGAGTAAAAAAAAGCTAATCCCAATGGGCTATATATTGTCTGATTTATACGGTACTCTTCATCATTCAATGACAAAATGACAGTCATGGAGGACATATTAGCATAGCCATGGGTTGGGGAAGGGGCAGACATAGGGCAAGGCTGGGAAGGAGGTAGGTACAATTAGTAATACAAGGGATCCTTGGGATGGTGCCCGTGTTCTGTATCTTGGCTGTGGCAATGTAGACACACACCTATGAGTATGATCAAACTACACACACTGAGGACGACGTGTACATCTGAATGAAATCACTGCACTGTATTGTCAGTTTCCTGGATGGGAGGTTATACTACAGTTTTGTAAGATGTCACCATGGAGCCAAACCAGGGAAGGGTACACGGATCTTCACCACATGTGAATCCATAATTACCTCAAAATAGGAAGTTCAGTTTTAAAAAGGGTAGCTAGAAAAGTTCCTCAAAACGTGATAAGCATTCAGGGAAAAGCACAGAATGTGAGGGAATGCTGAATGAGTAGGATAATCTTGTGCATATGTATTTCTGTATTATTTAAGTATTGCTTTGGAGTGAATTCCGAGATGTGTGATTGCTGGATTTGAAAATAAAAGCATACGTAGGAGTGTGTTAACTCTACATTAACTTAAGGAAGACTTAAAGGATCTCTTTCCATTTCCTTGACTCTACTTTTGGGTCTCTTAAGAATGCTTTCTAGCTTTTCTCACAAAAGGAATAAATTTAACAAGAAATAGTCTAAATATTTTATCTTCTCTGTTGCTATTTAAAGTCTTCCCTATAACTAATAGAGTCTCTCATTGCTTATTGCTTGTACATGTGAAAGCTATTGATTTCTGTATAATTTTATATTTTGCTACTTTATAGGACTTTTATTGTATAGTATTATTATTTCTCATTTTCCAGGTTCATGCTATCGTCTGCAAAAATCCAATTTTCATGTCTCTAGACATTTCTTCCTTAAATGCCATTAGCTTCTACCTCTAGTATAATGTTAAGTAAGTAGTAGAATCAACCGGTATCTTAGTATCTCCCCATTAAGGAAGATGCTGGCTTCCAGACAGAGATGTTCACACATACTCATGGAAAGGAAGTATTATTCAGTTCTTTTGTCTTCAGTGTTTGTGTCACACAGGTGTTGAATTCTGTCCAGGGCTTTTCTGGCCCTTTGTGGGGATAACTTTTTCTATCTTAGATCTATGAATATGGTATTATATTAATAGATTTCCTAATATCGACTCAACCTCACATTCCTGGATTAAATCTGCACAGTCATGTATCATTTCTTTATGTGTTGCTATATTCTCTTCACTAATATATTATTTAGAACTTTTATATCAATATGGATAAGTAATACTGGCCTATAATTTTTTAAATTTTTCACACTGTATTTATCAGGTCATACTTATCCCCAACATTTTCATTTATTTGTTCTTCCTCTATGATTAAATTGGCTAGGTCCCAAATTTGTTAATTAAAACAATGGTTTTATTAATTAGAACTATTTATATCAATTTATGGTTTCACCTTTATTATTTTCTTCATTGGCTTTTTATTTACCTTGTTCTTTTTCTAGCATTTTGGGCTGAGAAACTTAATTCATTTATTTTCTTTCATTTTTAATGAAAAAGTATATAAAAATTATTAATTTCCTCCAACTACTGCTTTAACTATATCTCACAAAGTCTGCTATGCTGAGTTTTTTTATTTTTTAGAAATTCATAATTCCAGCTTATATTTCTTACTTGCTATTTCTTTTCTTATATGATAACAAGTCTTTTTTTGTTTTAACTTCATGTTATTTGGAATGGTTTGTAGTTTGTTCTGTTACCTTTATACAACTAGAGAAGTGTAATGCTAGTCTCAGTCTCTTCCCCTTATAAGCTATTTGATCTTTTTACCTAGAAGCCCTGAATATGTTTTATTATTAATATCTAATAATTTTAGTAGATACTACTTGGTAGTTGATTAATATAGGTAATTTTCTCAGGCACTTTGTCAGCCCTGTCAATTTGTAGATTTCAGTCTTTTATTTCCAGACATTTTTCTCAGATTACAGACTCAGTATTAGTTCTGCTCCACTGTTTTACCTTCTTCGGTGACTCTACTGATATAAAAATCCTATCTTCTTTTTTTAAATAAGATTGATTTATTTAGAGAGGAAGAGCGTGCATCTGAGCAGGGGGAGGGGCAGAGGGAGAGGAGAGATGACTCTCCAGCAGACTCCCTGCTGAATGTGGACCCCCCCCCGACCCATGTGGGGCTCAATCTCACCATCGTGAGATCATGACCTGAGCCAAAATCAAGTCAGATGCTTAACTGACTGAGCGACCCACGTGCCCCTAAATTTTCTCTTCTTTGCTTGACTTCTAATTCAAACACTTCCTGACTCATTTTAGTTCTTTCCACATCACATTTTCATTCTCTTGGTTTTCCTGCCTTTCTTCAATGTTGTATATTAAGATATCTTTCAAATCTATTCTTTAGACAGCTGTTCTTTAATATTTTCTTCTAATACAATTTTGCCTTTTCCGCCATTTCTTCTGGAGTAATGAACTATCAATTCATTTCTTTCTGTTTCTTAAATTTTTTTTTTTTTTTTTTGAGAGAGAGAGAGAGATCACATGCTGGGAGGTCAGGGGTGGGGGGATGAGGGAGTGGGGGAAGAGGATATCCCAAGCAGACTCCCCACTGAGTTTGGAGCTGCGTGCAAGCCTTCATCTCATGACCCTGAGCCCATGACCTGAGCTCAAATCAAGAACTGGATGCTTAACTAATTGAGCCACCCAGGCACCCCTCTTGAACATTTATGTTCTTAGTTTTTGATTTCTAATTTAAAATGGTATCACAGCTTTAGATGCTTGTTTGAGGATACTTAATAAAATCATATGGTTGTACTATAGTCTTTTTTTTTTTTTCCTGCTTCATTACTATTTTCCTGGGGGAGGGTTTCATTAGCAGAATTGTTTTTCTCAACTTAGACAATTTTTTTTAAAGAATAATAATTTTGTACACACAGGAGAGTTAGCTGATTTGGCTGGTTTGTGAAAATTTTAACTAGAGGACACTCTTGTATCAGGGTATCAAAGTATAGTTTCCTTACTATATGGCTTTTATGGGAGGGCAGGAAGGATACTATGGGTAGAAAGAATGTGTGTCCAAGGGGTGCCTGGGTGGCTCAGTGGGTTAAGCCTCTGCCTTTGGCTCAGGTCATGATCTCAGGGTCCTGGGATTGAGCCCCGCATTGGGCTCTCTGCTCAGCGGGGAGCCTGCTTCCCTCTCTCTCTCTGCCTGTCTCTCTGCCTACCTGTGATCTCTGTCTGTCAAGTAAATAAATAAAATCTATAAAAAAAAAAAAAAAAGAAAGAATGTGTGTCCTTCAAGTTTTAAGAAATTTTCTTTAGTGGGACACCTGGGTGTCTCAGTCAGTTAAACGTCTGACTCTTGATTTTGACTCAGGTCACGATCTCAGGGTCATGAGATTGAGCCCCGCCCTGGGCTCTGCACTCAGGGCCACAGGAGGGGGGTTAACTGGGGGGGGCGTGTCCTGCTTGAGATTCTCTTTCTCCCTCTGCTTCTGCCCCTACCCTCCCAAATTAATAAATAAATCTTTAAAAAATAAAATAAATTTTCTTTAAAATTTTATACTATCCAAATATATTACAGCTCTTTTTTCATTGCTATATTTTAGTTAATACATTTTTTGACAAACATTTCTTTTTGATCATTTTATTTGGGTAGGGAAATTCTGGAAGTCATACTTAATCTGTTAATTAACCTTGAATTCTTAAAGTCAGTACTTCACTCTCCCTGTCCCTGTGTATTCATACACTTTATTTTTTAGAGGCATTTTAGGTTCACAGCAAAATTGAGCAGAATGTGCCAAGATTTTCCGTATCTCCATACAGAGCCTCCTCTTATGAACATCCCCCACCGAGTGGGACACTGGTTATAACTGATAAACCTATGCAAACACATCATTATGAACCAGGGTTCACAGTTTACACTGGGGTTCACTCTTGGTGCTGTATGTTCTATGGCTTGGACAAATTTATAATGACAAGTATCTACCATTTTAGTATCATACAGAATAGTTTCACTGCCCTAAAGGTTCTCTATGCTTCACCCATTCATCACTCCTCATATATATATATATGTTTTTATAGGATAAAAATTACCCATTATCAATCTTAACCTATTACTATTAATATGCTTCTAATGATAAACTGATTTAAATCCTAAATAAATGTGTCTTCTACACAGAGAGTCATCATAAAAAAATCCACTAAGAGAATGGATTAATTTTTAAAATATACATATTCTAAATTATGAGAGTGAATTCAGTTTACTCTCTTCCACCTACATTTGTGCCACTAGGATACTCTATTTTGCTATGTTTATTATCCACATCATCAAAAAGATTCATTTTTAGTCAGTATACACTATTTACTGAACTATTAAAATAGACTTACAGCCCTCTGAGAACATTTCAACAACTATCTTAAAAGAAGCAAAAAATTCAACTTAACATAATTTCCCATTGCCTGAGCCTTCTTGTTTGTTTGTTTTAATTTATTTATTTGACAGACAGAGATCACAAGTAGGCAGAGAGGCAGGCAGAGAGAGAGGAGGAAGCAGGCTCCCTGCTGAGCAGAGAGCCCGATGCGGGGCTCAATCCCAGGACCCTGGGATCATGACCTGAGCCGAAGGCAAAAGCTTTAACCCACTGAGCTACCCAGGCGCCCCCTGAGCCTTCTTGCTAATTGAATTTTTACTCTATACTATCTCTACCTTGTTCCTCACATTCTATGACATTCATTCATTATATACTTACTGTATCAACTCTATCAATAATTGTCTATAATGTGACAGGCTCTGGTAATACACTGGTGGAAAATATGGACAAGATTCCTTCCCTCATGAAGCATACATTTTAGCAGGGAGCTGAGGACAAAAACCATAGTGTAACAGAGGACAGTGTGACAGAGTGCCTAGGGTGGGTGAACATGGATATGGAGATGATGGTTATTTAAGGGATGGCAGTCAATGAAAACTTCTTTAAAGTGATATTTCAATAGAGACCTGATAAATGTTACCATTCAAAGACCTTAAGAAAGAAGTTTCAGGGCACTAAGAAAAACAAGTGCAAAGACAGCTGAGGCAGGAACCACCCTGAAGGAACAGCTAGGAGGTCAGTTTGCTGGGGTGCGGGGTATAAGGGGAGGCAGATGCTGGCAAGGACATGATCATACAGGAGGCCATGATAAGCAGTCTGGATTGTATTCTGAATGTCACTGAGAGCCCCTGGAGAGTTTTACGTTTGGGTATAATATTTTCTCACTTATGTTTTCTAAGATCACTGATGACTATATGGAGAATGGGCTATGAGGGGACAAGAATGAGAGAGGAAAAGACCCAAGAAAGAGCCGTGGCAGTAGTCCATCCATGCAGCTTGCCCCACGTGGCTGGAGAGAAGGTAGTAACAGTGGAGATGATGAAGAATCAGTGTAGACAGCATGTGTGGCAGGGAACACGGACAGGACATCCTAGTAAGTGGAATGGAGTGGTAAGGGGTAGGAGGCGAATGTAGTGACATGGGTGGTGGTGCTATGTACTGCCGTGGAGCAGGCAGGAGGAACTGGAGACCCAGAGTAGTGCAGGTCCCCCTGCAGTAGGGAACTCTTTCCCAGCCCCCACCTCACACGCACTGGCACGCAGAGAACTGGGAGGCAGAGATAAAAGACCTGAGCACCGTATCATACTCGCACCACTTATCCAACCCGAAGTGCTAGCCTGTGCTGGGGGCAGGAGAAAAAGTAACTCTGAACCAGCTAAGCTACTGGAGTTTAAAAATGCACAGGTTGAGTCTTAGACAATGAAATGCGATCACAGAAACTGGCCTGAAATGTTTTGTTATTGAACCAATATGTTGTTCAGGAAGATGCAGGACAAGGAAAAGAGGGGTGGACAGAGCACAGCCGAAAGCAGGAGCAGGAAAAGCTGCAACTCTCATATTCGTTCCCAAGGTATTCAAAATACCCAAAAAATGAGCTACTAAAAGTGACTCAAGAATGAGGAAGTGGTCAGCTGTATCCAAAGCTGCTAAGCAGTTTAACAGGACAAAGGCGGAGAACCGACTTTTGAACTGCAGTGGGGGAGCACCTTGATCAAAGTCGTGTTAGTACTGGGGAGAGACACAGAAAGCCCAATGGGCATAGGTTAAAAAAGACCAAAGCAGAACTTTTTAATCCTCCTAAGCTTCATTCCTAGCACGCTTCACAGAAATGTCACTGCTGCTCTTCAGCATTCCGCAACCAAAGCATACGCAATGCAGGGAATAGTAATTTCCAAATAGATTTTGTTTCTCTTACCTTCACTGATTAAATTTAATGTGTCTTGTTTCCCATCTCCTTCTTGTGACTGACCTGGATCCAGTGAAGTCTGAGAAAGGCTGACTTCAGCTGATAACTGGTCAAGACTTTGATAACTTTTTCTGTAAAACAAGGGTGAAATACTACTTGGATTTCTTCTCACAAAAAAGAATTTCTAGAGATATTCTTTAATGATTTGCTTCAATTTATTGAATTTCTGGTTTATTTCTCCCCAGTTCTTCCCCTAAACTCTGTCTCTATTGTTGCTACAATATGATCTCCATTATACTTTTCCCTCCACACTCTCTGGAGGCCTGCATGTTTAATCTATTGAAAAAGGAAAAGAAAAACAATTTGTCAAACTAATTTAAATCCTTGCACCAATTTTGATTATTTAGCTCGTGAGAAATTGGCAACCTTCTGGTTATTATCAATTTTCATAGAAGCAGAAAATCTACAGATTACTCTTAATGCAGAAACCAAAATGACATAACTTAATAATGACCTAGTATCTCCTCGGCACTTAAACATTCTTCAATGTTTTGATATTTTTACAGACGGCTTTTACATAATAATAAGTACAAATTATCACAAATTCCTGCAATTTAGAAGTTTAAAAATGTAGGATAATAACATAGCTGTTTCTGTTAATACACTATCAAGATAACCTCCTTTCCTTGTGTATTTGCTACTGTGACCTCAATTTCCATTAAACAAATTAATGAGAAATGAATTATAATAGAGGAAAAATTCAGTTATACATGGAAAGTTATTAAGGCTTATTATTACACCTTCCTCATATTTGTTTTGTCAGGATAAAAACAACTCAAGAAATGCATGCAGCTTTGGTATTATTGACATTTCAAGAATAGAATGGAATTCATTATTATTTCCAAATACATGGGATCCAGGAGAAAGAATATGCTTTTCAGGTTTAACCTCTATTACCCAAGGTAGCCAAATCCTAACTAATTTCTTAGAAATGTCATATATCCTATGATAATATTACAGGAAAGTATATATAATTTAAATGATCTATTCCAGAGCTACTCTCTATTCATACATACACAGTAAGCTTACAAATTTATTGAAAGTATATATATTATGCATGAGGGGATATATACAACAGTATCTATTTGTTTTTTTCATCTAAGAAATGAAGGATGAGATGATGGAATAATTTTACCACTTTACAATGTAGGCAGTGTTCTCATTTTATAACATGATGACTTTTCAAATGTCAAGTATAAGAGTTCTTAGTTATATTTTTAAGTAGCAGGAAATACTACTGTAGGAAACCACTGATAATTATTACAATAGATAAAACACAGATCAGCTATACAACATGTAATAAAGAAAGATACCCAGTATTTATATAATGCTTACCAAATGCTAGGTACTGTTCCTACACATTTTATATATATTAACTTATTTAATCCTCACAACTACCCTGCGAGGTTGGAATTACAACTATTCCCATTTTATACAGAGTAAACTGGGGCACAAAGAAGAGATCAGATTTTAACCGGGCAGCCTGGCTTAATTCTGTCCCCTATCTAGACTATCTCCTTCTCAGTACAGAAAGAAAAAAATTTGGTTTTCTGTTTTATTAAAAACCTTCTTAAAGAGCAGCCTTATGGCTGAGACTAACCATGTAAACTATACAATATTGAATTATATCACTGAAAATTTTACTTGACTTTCATTAAAAGTTTATTTCTTTAGCTACAGAAGAAAGCAGGAATGCAGGAATTCAACAAAGTTATGAATTTTCTTTCCTAATTATTTTTCTATGCCTAATAGGTAGAAGGCTTGTTTTTATACTTTTGGCTTTAAATGAGTTTCTGACACTGGTTTTTTCATCATAGGAAACTTGATAGTTAATATTAAATTTTAAAAATTCTAGAAATATTTACAAACAAAATACCCAGAAGCAAAAAAGACGTAAAATTAATTTGAAAATTATAAGGACTGAGAGCTCGTGGGCACATGTTTACAGCAATCTAGGACTGTCACTAGCTGCGGGGAGGAAAGCCTAGAAAAGCCTCCTCTGATAAAAGCAACATAAAATGAACTTTCTGCATTACCTACTGAAGTTCCTTTTAGATATTACATTTCCAAGTGGAAAGTGATTGTGGAAACTATCTACTCTTCAATTTGTTACATTAAGTGAACAAGCTTGCATTTTATAGGCTTCACTTAAGTGTAGCTAATGAATGCTAGCCAAATGCTAATGAATATAGAAACAGAACTTGGTAGACCATGATTTCTGAAGTAATAATGGAAAGTCTAAGCCAAAGTAAAGTCCCTTATTCAAAAGATACTCATAACAGTACATGTAATATTTTCCTTGCATGAAGATCATTACAGAGCCACCACCTGGGAGCAATCTAATCGAGCTGTTTGCAACAATGACAAGGAATTTCCAAATTCTTTTTCCATATTCTTACCTGATTGCCAATACAACTGGCAGCTCCTTCTGACAAGTATGTTGTCCTAGAGTAAACTGTCTGTGGGAGTTCTGCCTTTAAGAGGTCACCACTAAGTCCTATTTTAGAATTCTAGACTCCTTAACATCCTACTGTAAGATTCAAACGTAACCCACGAGTCACAAATCAATCAACAGTCTGTTCCCTGAAGCAGATTTTTTAAAATAGCAATATCTTTCTTCATCAAAGTAAGAACCCCAGACAGTAAGATAAGGAATCATGTCAACTATCATAAGCATCTGGGATGTACTAAAACCCATTTTCTTTAATATCTATTTAAAATTTTAAATCACTCAAATACAAGCTATTATACAAGGAAACCAGATACCAAATAGAGGCAAATTAAAAGCAACTTGAGCAATAGGCTTGAATTCACTTATTAATAAATTTTCTACAATCTTAAACTTTGTATCAATGATCAGAAGTCATGATGTGGATAATCTACATCACCTATTTTCCCAATAGATGTAGTGAGGTTCAATAATAATTTACATTATCTGGTAGTCATGGTAATCACTGAGCAAAAAAGAGTATTAGGCTCAGGAGACGTTATCCACATGAAGAAAATAAAAACACAGATTTGCACACTGTAGATGTAGAGGCACATGAATGTGCACGGAGCCAGTGATGGGCTGTTCTTTTTATTCTTAGTTTGATTTTCATAGAAATGTACTTAACGAACAAAATAAGCATTTCCTTTATCAGAATATCTATATACTCTTAATCTACTAAAATTAATGGAAGGATGCATGAGAGCCTGAAAGGGAAGGCCATATTTGAGTCAGGTCAATGCAAACCTCATAAGCTGTAAAAGATTTTTGCAGCCTCATTGCTTCAGGGAGTCCTACTCTGAAAGTACTGGGAAAATGTACATGGGAAAGAGAACTTATAAGACATCTGAAGTAATTATATCCACTCATAAGTCATCAAAAAAATTAGGCTACATAGATCACAAAGGGCATATAAAGGCTCATAATACTCAATAATCTGGTGAATGATAGCCAAATTAAAAGCAATGATAAATTTAGAAGAGTAAAAAAATTAAGTAGAAAATAAAAATATGAACAATGAATCTGATCTTTTAGGATGGAAATGAGTGGGCTAGGCAATAATCTAACAAGATTATATAACATATACTCTAGTAACAGTATATAACCAGTATCTAACAAGATCATGTGGCCTAGACTTTGCATATAAAAAACACTAAGCAGAACATACTGGAAAAAGAAAGTAAACAATTGCTATATGTGTGTGTTTTATACACTTATTTATTGTTGAGGTTTTTTATTTTTTTATTTTATTTTTAAAATTTATTTATTTATTTATTTTTAAAGATTTTATTTATTTATTTGACAGAGATCACAAGTAGGCAGAGAGGCAGGCAGAGAGAGAGAGGGAAGCAGGCTCCCCACTGAGCAGAAAGCCTGATGTGGGGCTCTATCCCAGGACCCTGGGATCAAGACCTGAGACAAAGGCAGAGGCTTTAACCCACTGAGCCACCCAGGTGCCCTTTATTTTATATATATATATACATATAGATGTGTGTATATATATATATATTTTTTTTTAAGATTTTATTTATTTATTTGACAGACAGAGATCACAAGTAGGTAGAGAGGCAGGCAGAGACAGAGAGGGAAGCAGGCTCCCTGCTGAGCAGAGAGCCCAATGCAGGACTCAATCCCAGGACCCTGGGATCATGACCTGAACGAAGGCAGAGGCTTTAACCCACTGAGCCACCTAGGTGCCCCTACTGTTGAATTTTTATAGTCAATCTGTAATGCTTTAAAAAATTTTAACATGATATTCCTATGTTTGAGATAAAGGAAAAGATATAAAACCGAGCATAATTAGTTAGACCTTGGCAGGTCTAAATAATCAAGAAAAAACTGGAAATGAGATTTTTTTTAAAGTTTTATAAAGAGTATAGTAAATGAAAATAAGTGTGAGATATTCTATTGTGAAAAGGATTCTTCTATGAGTAGGTAATAACACAGCCAGGTTATCCCATCACTCATTTTAAGAGAGAGCAAGGAAGGGAGCCTGGGTGGCTCAGTTGTTAAGCATCTGCCTTCAGCTCAGGTCATGATCCCAGTGTCCTGTGACTGAGCAGAGTCCTGGGATCGAGCCCCACATCGCATCCAGATCCCTGCTCAGTGGGAAGCCTGCTTCTCCCTCTCCAACTCCCCCTGCTTGTGTTCCCTCTCTGCTGTCTCTGTCAAATAAATAAAATCTTAAAAAAAAAAAAAAGAGATGGCAACTAGACCAAGAAATTCATTAAATCAAACAACACAATATCATTCCTTTTGGAGCTAACTCGACAGAGCTCCTAGAGAAATGCAGACATCCCATATTCTTAGCGGGAAATTATAATATCACATAATGACTAATTATAGGGCCAGTTTCTTTCTCCAAATTATCAAGAGCACTAATATTCCTTATTAAGAGGTTTTAGCCACCAGTTCCATAATTTGTAGGTTCTTGATAAATGTTTGTTAAACTTGCTGAAGATACTGGTCAAATTAAGAGGAATCAGTGATGAGGTTACTTCAAGAGCTTTGGCTTATAGTACAGATTTGAGGGGAGCAAAAACCAGATCCTGAGAAAAGCAATGATTTGTTTCAAACATGATTTACTGAGCACTACTCTACTCTGGAAATCCAGTCTCCATTTTTACACTGAAAAGTTTGGATTAGGTATTATGCTAAGCAAAATAAGTCAATCAAAGGAAAATAATTATCATATGATTTCTCTGATATGAGGAATTTGAGAGGCAGGGCATGGGGTTGTGGGGGGTATGGAGGGAGAGAGGGAAAAAAATGAAACAAGATGGGATTGGGAGGGAGACAAACCATAAGACACTTTTAATCTCATGAAACAAACTGAGGGTTGTTGCCGGGGGGAGTTGGATAGGGTGGCTGAGTTATGGACATTGGGGAGGATATGTGCTATGGTGAGTGCTGTGAAATGTGTAAGACTAATGATTCACAGACCTGTACCCCTGGGGCAAATAATACATTATATGTTAATAAAAAATTTTAAAAAGTTAAAAAAAACGTTGGGATTATATTTTCAGAATTGGGGATCTGCTGGTCACTTTAATTTTATGTAACTTTTATAAACTCTAACAAAGTAGAGTTGAGGACAGTGGGTGAATGCATATTCTGAAACATGGAAGATACAAAGTTATATAAGAACCAAACGAAAGAGATTATATAGAACATAAATAAAGATTCCCCGAGAAGTAGTAGGTGCCATGCAATTTATTACTGACTTGAAGAGGCATTACCCCCAGAATTACACATGAAGAAGGTAAGAGGTGCTGCTTACTATTGTTACACAGCAAGTAGGGTAGCAGAGATTACTTCCAAGTCCTGACCCTAAACTCTGGGTCCAGTGATCTCCATACTACAGCCCAGCTGCATACCTTCTGTTCAGGAATGTAGGAGGGCCATCTAAAAGAGCACCAATATGAATAGTAACGCCAGATGAAAGGATGATGCTGAAAAGGGAAGAGTATTCCCTCTTCAGCAAGTGGAGCAATTGAGTCAAGGAGCATAAAGTCTGGATCCATGCTAGACAGACCAACAAGCGATTTTACTTCTTTTTTTTTGTGATACTGCAATTACTTTTGCTGCTGCCATAATACTTCATAAAAGCCAGTCATTATTACCACATGCAAAGGTAAACTAGAAATAACTCTTCCACTCAGACTCACTGGTTCCTCAAGATGTAGGTCTTACAGGCAGGTCTACATACAGGTCTTTCGGCTAAAATATTTTACTTCCTATTATCTAAAGTGACAATGTGGTTATTGCAATAAAAAGCATACTATTAGTCTTTTAACATATCAGGAGTTAATGTTATAATATTTTTACAGTTACAAAAGCAAGAGCATCTCATGTGTTATAGAGAGATAAGTGGACCAATTACTGCAATAGATTCTGTTTTTCAGTCAGAAATCAGAAATGTGAATAAACTAATATTCTTTTATTACTTGTATATGTCATAGAAAAATAAAATTATAGACCAACATAAGAAGATATATTCTAGTTGTTTATAAATTTCAAAGGGTATATAAGGGAACTTGGTACAATCCATGAAAGACTCAGTCAACACCTAGAATCATACTTAGCAACATGGTTAATAGATGTTGAAGAGAGTTCTACTGATTCATTCTATAAGCAGTCTGCTCACTTTTCCCTACCTATCTCTAGCAATCAGTGAAACAAACAAACCAAAGAAGCATTTTTTAGCAACAGAAGGTCAAACTTATTTTGAGTACTCCCTTTGATAGATGAAAAAAATCACATAGTAAAGCAGTTAGAAATTGCCTACACTGAAACAATCCCTGTAGAAATGTCTGGTTACTAACTACCTAGTGAAAAGCACTCTAAGAAGCACAGATGGAAATGTGTGTCTCTACCAGTGAGGTTTAAAAATAAGGACTTAAAAAGAAGAGTGGAGAAGAAATTAAAAAAAAAAAAATAAGAGGGCAGGAGGAAGGGAGGGGAGAAAGGAGGAAGAGAAGAAACAGAGGGGGAGGAGGGAGAAAAGGGAGAGAACAGAAGGGGATAGAGGGACAGAAGGAAATCATTAGAAAACTAGCCAAAGAGAGGAAAATAAAGATATTGAAAAAGTTATCAAGATGGGAAGAGTGGCTAAAAGCCAAAAGAAGGTAATACAATTCTTATGTTATCTTTCAAAATGAAGATACTCCAAAAGAATATAGCCTATTCCAAAGGAATGCAGCTCTCTCAACATTTCAACACTATGACTTAATGTAACAGTCCTAAATAGTGGGACAAAGAAATACAAAAAGAGGGAAAATTGGACAGCCACATGCAGAAAAATGAAATTGGATCATTTCCTTACACCACACACGAAAATAGACTCAAAATGGATGAAGGACCTCAATGTGAGAAAGGAATCCATCAACATCCTTGAGGAGAACACAGGCAGCAACCTCTTCGACCTCAGCCGCAGCAACATCTTCCTAGGAACATCGCCAAAGGCAAGGGAAGCAAGGGCAAAAATGAACTATTGGGATTTTATCAAGATCAAAAGCTTTTGCACAGCAAAGGAAACAGTTAACAAAACCAAAAGACAACTGACAGAATGGGAGAAGATATTTGCAAACGACATATCAGATAAAGGGCTAGTGTCCAGAATCTATAAAGAACTTAGCAAACTCAACACCCAAAGAACAAATAATCCCATCAAGAAATGGGCAGAAGACATGAACAGACATTTCTGCAAAGAAGACATCCAGATGGCCAACAGACACATGAAAAAGTGCTCCATATCACTCGGCATCAGGGAAATACAAATCAAAACCACAATGAGATACCACCTCACACCAGTCAGAATGGCTAAAATTAACAAGTCCGGAAATGACAGATGCTGGCGAGGATGCGGAGAGAGGGGAACCCTCCTACACTGTTGGTGGGAATGCAAGCTGGTGCAACCACTCTGGAAAACAGCATGGAGGTTCCTCAAAATGTTGAAAATAGAACTACCCTATGACCCAGCAATTGCACTGCTGGGTATTTACCCTAAAGATACAAACGTAGTGATCCGAAGGGGCACGTGCACCCGAATGTTTATAGCAGCAATGTCTACAATAGCCAAACTATGGAAAGAACCTAGATGTCCATCAACAGACGAATGGATAAAGAAGATGTGGTATATATATACAATGGAATACTATGCAGCCATCAAAAGAAATGAAATCTTGCCATTTGCGACAACATGGATGGAACTAGAGGGTGTCATGCTTAGCGAAATAAGTCAATCGGAGAAAGACAACTATCATATGATCTCCCTGATATGAGGGAGAGGAGATGCAACATGGGGGGTTAATGTGGTAGGAGAAGAGTAAATGAAACAAGTTGGGATTGGGAGGGAGACAAACCATAAGTGACTCTTAATCTCACAAAACAAACTGAGGGTTGCTGGGCAGAGGGGGGTTGGGGGGGGTTATGGACATTGGGTAGGGTATGTGCTATGGTGAGTGCTGTGAAGTTTGTAAACGTGGAGATTCACAGACCTGTACCCCTGGGGGAAAATATATATATATATATATATGTTTATAAAAAATAAAATTATAAAAAAAAAAAAAAGAAATACAAAAAGAATCTTATGACCCACAGGTGGAGTGATTATATTTTCTATAGCCTCCAAAAATTAGATTTCTCAAAAATAAACAAAACTCTCTCAGACCCACCAAGAACAATATCTTTTCAATCTATCATGAGATGGAATTTTGTGTTTTCTAACTAGCAATAAAATTAATCCTAAGGCAAATACAAATACCAAAGCTAAAATTCAAAAATAGATGGCTCATTAAATACAAGTTCATAGACTTAACTGAAGGACTGGCTGAAGACTTAAAGGAGAAGCAGGTAGCTGGTACAATACTGCATAAGAATTTCTTAGATATTTTACTTCCCCAGGGTGCCTTGGCTTCAAAACGTTAACATATTCACTGCCTTAATCTGACTTTATCAAGCCAAAGTAGTCTTAAATTCTACTTTTGCCCTAAGTTAATAATGAATTCAGAAAGAATAAGTGAGAAACCAAAGTGGATAACCATGTGTTTGGGTACAACTAAATTTGTAATTAGTTGGAAAAAAAAGTATTACACTTACTCATACCACTGTTTATTGTGTTTTCGGTAAAGCAACGTATCCAAGGCAACAGCATTGACATCCAGAGCTCCTGGGGAAGGCCACTGGTTGGTGAGGTGGGCAGTTAACTCTTGTCTTGATCTTAAATCATTATTCTTTAGCACAGTCCTGTGAATATTAAGATGGTGAGTGCTTTTGTCTTCACTGTTCTGCAATGGCAGAGGAACCTAATGGTATTAATCTGGCCCCCAAAATTCATTTTTTAAAAATGGTATGTTAACAGATTGTCAACAGAGCTATCGGGGCTATTAATGTCTCCTACCACATGTGGTTTTCATTCTTTCTCTACAGGCTACAACAAACCACTAACATGTGGAGTTCAGACTTCTGATCTTTTCCACACAGATATTACTAAAGGACTAAAGGTGCATCTTGCACCTTACCTAAAAAATTTTGGTATCTTAAAGTTATAGATTATTAGATTCCAGTTAAAATAAGAAAGGATTCCATGTATATGATTTTCTAGCATCAACATTCACTCAATTAAGTTAACTTAGTAAACAAAAAAGAATTAAAATGAATAAAAAATAAAACTAAATGCAGAAAAACACTAAAAAAAATCCATAAGGTGTCTGGAATTTTTTAATAGAAGTAACTACCAATAAACCTTTATGAAAATAGTTAAATCAATGATAACTGAACACTATAACCCACTAGAAATATTTCAACTACGGAATGAAGCCATTTTAACAGTTCACAATTTACTCTCGGTTTTGTAGAACCATTACTCATTAATAAAAATTTGCAAAAGAGCTAACTTTGGGCCAAAATTTAAACCTCACAAACCAATCAATAACTGTCACAAGACTAATTCAGCATTTGAACTGGTGGTTAAAGATAAATTTAAAAGCATAATTCTGTTTGCAAAGGCCCTATTCTACCTCTAAAAAGCTTCAAAATACCATGTAGGCAAGACCCCTTATATAACAGGAGTCTGTGACTTTGGTTTACCAAAGTCTGAGCCATCATCTCAGAAGCAGGGAGGTACTACGTGTCTGCCGCTAAGTGTCTGAAACAATCGTCCTGCTGTGGGTGGCAGAGCAGTGGTGTGCCAGCAAGACAATCCTGCACACAAAAAAAGAACCTAGACAATACCTCTAGCTGTAAACTATGACTCAAATGGAAAATTTGGTTTTTATATGTCTCTATGTATTTATATGTCTCTAACAGGCTACTTATGAATATTTCTGCTTTTACAGGTATCTGTGTATACTTTTGCTCCATCTATGCCACGAACAAACATTAGTTGAAGTAAATACCAAGTTTAATCTCAGAATGGAATACTAAAAATGTGAAAGAGGCAGAAGAAGTCTGTGAGAAGGTATCACATTAAGATATTCTTGTAGGCTACCTGAAACAATTTCGTTTCACTGGAAAAAGAATGAAAATTTTAAAAAGGACTTTTAAGGTACTTTAACATGGGTTTTTATGAAAATAATAGAGTTCAGAAAAACTTCAAGACTGACAGAAAATCAGGTTAAGCAGAAATAGGGTTACTGGCCAGAGAATCTATTAAAATAAGCCACAATTATTTTGGCTTCTCTTACTAGACTTTTCTCTTTCACATATTCACTCTCTCTAGGGTCTCAGAGAGTGTCACTGGGAAACCCAACTTCGATGTCATCACTGTTTACAGGAAACAGAGCAGAATGCAAGAAAGACAATTATGCATTTTTGAGGAAATGACATCAGAAAATTCAGTCAATATAAGTAATTGAACAACTTCCAATTTAGAATATATTATTCCTGGAAATTGAAAAGTTTTACACTGCATAAATGAAAGAAAAGAACTAAGTTTCACGGAAGTTTTTACACAGTACTTGTCCCTGGAAAATTTTTGCCTAATGACAACTTATCGTACTGTCTTTAGAATTCTGTGTTTAGAAATCCCAATGACATTGTTTCCTATGGGCAGCTGCCCTGTGCTTTGAAACAGGAGACAGAGATTGCAGTGTACTGGACAAGCTCAGCTTCTATCCAGGCTGCACCTGCTTTCCACCTTCTGTGACAAGTGTGGAGACAGACAATACTGGCTTTGTGCTGCCACAGCAAATGGGAAAGGTTCCTAGAGAATCCTTGTGTAAGGCCGCTTCTCTCACTGCTCTACTATACGAAGGAACAGGCAAGCGGATTTAAGGGATGTAGAAAACCCTACCCCTGAATTCTGAATCTTGATTCCATCTACTTAGATAATGAAGATACAAAGCAGTTTATTCATTCTAGCAGTGGGCTCTGACCAAAATGACCAGCACAGAGACAGACCTCAAGTTCCTACTTGCTAGCTCTGAAGTAGCTCATCCTACCTCTCTCCAAGCCTACTTTTCCAGTCTTTCTTTCCATTCCTTGAGTTGTTGATATCAATCTAAGGAATTCCATTTTTGCTTAAGAGTTGACTGTGCTTTCCTACAATCAAAGAATCCTATTACTCACTGAGAACAAGCAGAACACACCTAGTTAACTTTAAGACCTACACAAAGGTAATGTAAATGAGGTTAATATGGAAAACGAGGATATTTTTCTCATTGGCCAAGCTTAAAAATAGGTTCATCTTAAATTACTCAAATTTTCTCCTAGTGTGAAATCAGTGGCAATTTAAGGTAAAATTATGTGATTTTTAGCATTTAACTTTACTTAGAACTCTAACCAATGTTAACACCAATAAGCTAATCTAAAAATTAAATCATTCTATACGAGATAGATTCTGCTTATCATTTCTGTCTATGATACAAGTCTTTCACTAGCAACTGAACATCTCTCATTAAGGTAATAATTCTACAGAAAGGTACAATAAAGGAAAATTATTTATTACAAAAGTAGCAGCAACATATTTATCACAGCTAATTTTAAGAACTTTCCTGTGGTAGCTACCTTAAATTGCTAGAGATATCATTTCTCTTCAGATCTTCAATAGGAATTATGCAAGAATTTGGCCACAAAAATTCTAATTTAATCCCCCTACTACTTTACTGAGGTATAATTAGCAATTAAAAACTGTATACATCTAAAATGTACAACTTGATTTTGTAGACATAACAACATAATCACCACATTCAAGCTAACTAACATATCCATCACCTCACAGTTGAGTCTTGTGTATGATGGGAACACTTGAGATATACCCTCTTAGAACACTTTAGGTATACAATACAGTACTAAGTATACTCATGTTGCTGTACATAGATCTCCATAATTTATTTATACATCTTGCATAACTGAAACATTTTACTTTCTGAACATCATCTCACTTCCCCCTCTCTCCAGGCCCAAAGGGGTACAAAATGGTTGTCCATTCTAATCTCTGCTTCTATGCATTTGACTATTTTAGATTCCAGATATAAGTGAGATCATGCACTATTTGTTTTTCTCCATTTGGCTTATTTCACCTAGCATAATTTCCTCAAGTTTCATCCATATTATTTCAAACAGCAGATTTCCTTTTTTTAAGGTGGAATAATTCTCTATAGTGTGCTTGTGTGGATAAAGACACAGGGTCTTCATATATCACATTTTCTTTATCCATCCATGAGTTTCCTTCCACTTCTTGGTTATTGTGGTTGAGATATATATATTGAGATATAGCATGGAAACATCAGTTTGAAAAACACATGGTATATATGGAAAGGAGATTATTTACTAATTTATTTACTAGCAGAATGTGTGCTTGTGGAGCAGGTATCTTTAGGAGACTTCTCCAAGAACAAAAGAGCTGATGGGTACCATTTCCTTACCCTGTCCCCCAGCCTGGATATGCAGACACCTGCAGAACTACTGTAAGCACTCTCTATGTAGCTTTTTAGGAGTGCCTCCCACCCCTGTTCTCTCCTGTGGACTGCCCCCTCCAACCTCCACTGGGTAGCTCTACAAAGTGGCTCCAGCTCCCCTCCCATAGCAAACCTACTCACCCACTACACTTATTAAAAGTGTGCCCTACCCCCACAATGTTCTGCAGACCCACACCATCCAACCTGCCCTAGGCAGCAGTCCATCCAAAGAGGCACCACAAGTCTAGCACTGTGCAAGCAGCCCGACAGTGTCCCGCACCACTCCAAAAAGACTGTTGCCCTGATGAAAGGGAAATACACCCATGCACTAGCTCTACTGCAGTCCCAGCAGCGGCCTGGGGGCAGACACCCAGTCTGACCGCAGGCCCCACCCACCAATGAAAGTCTCTCAGGGTATAACAAAGAGAGAGCGACCTGTCGTTTGATGTGACCACAGTTCTGGCAAATGCCTAGTCAGACCCAATTCAAGTCCAAAGACCCACTAACAACAAAGGGACCAAATGCTGCTTGAAACAGGCAAAAGTGCCATCACAGATGACAGAAGGGAAAAGCACTCAGTCACAATGGTAAGGGGCATGCAATACACATAGCTGATGCCTCTGAAGCTCCAGGTTCTGGTGAAGAGGGGACATAGCCCTGAAGGGCACTATAGGAACCTTTCTTCATAAGGCAACTACTTTCAAGAACAGGAGACTCATATGACTTTCCTAACACAGAGAAACAGACATAGAGAGTTAGACAAAAATGAGGAAATAGAGAAATATGTCCCAAATGAAAGAGGACTAAATCATAGCAAGAGAGTTAACAAAACAGAGACAATCAATATGTCTGATAGAGAATTTAAAATAATGTTCATAAACATAATCACTGAACTTGAAAAAGGAGTGGAGGACCTCAGTGAGACCCTCAACAAAGAGACAGAAAATACAAAAAAGAATCACATAGAGATGAAGAACTCAGTAACTGAAATTAAAAATTCACTAAGAGAATAATGAATTAATTAGAGGAAGTAGAAGGATGGATCAGTGACCTGGAGGACAGTGTAATGGAAAGCAATCAAGCAGAACAGGATAAAGAAAAAAGAAAAAGAAAACAATTAAGAATAGATTAAGGGAACTCAGTGACACCATCAAGTGTAATAACATTATACTATAAGGATCCCAGAAGAGAAAAGAAGGGGGCAGAAAATTTATTTGAAGAAATAATAGCTCAAAACTTCTCAAATCTTGGGAAGAACACAGAAACCCAGAACCAGGAGGCACAGAGATCCCCCAATGAAATCAATTCAAGGAGGTTCACACCAAGACACATAATAATTAAATGACA